ACCACCCATAAGTCTACACGGTGCCAATTACAAGAACACAACGAATCAACGCCACTATGAAAATCTAGGTTTTCTCGTATTGGTTTACTTTGCAAAGATATAGATAACCGTAACCGTGTCAAACCCGTTGGGCTAGTGGGTCTATAGACTGAGATTCGAGCCCGGGACTAATCGATGATGACTTTCGTAAAAGTATCTGGAAAAAGAGACGCGGAGATAATGAGGAATTTAGGCTATGACTCGTTCTGCTTTTGTCACTGTAACGGGACAATCATTATTTACACAGCCTTACAGTTGCAGTAAACGTACCTACATGCCCGGCATTGCACGCAGTCCTGAAAAGTGCCATAAATCAATTTGTATTACTCTAATTGGGTCAGAGTCAGTCTACTTGGTACTGCGTCCACTGTTTGGTCTCTTGTACCAGCCCTTGATGATGAATTTGGAACAATCGGTGGAATGCGAATTGGCAGGGGAAACCGAAGTACTTGAATAAAACCTGCCCCAGTGCTACTTTGTCCACCACAAATCCCACATGATTTGACCCGGGCTCGAACCAGGTCCACCGCGGTGGGGAGCCAGTAACTAACCGCTATGGTTAGTGCTATGGCACGACCTACCATAAATCAAAACAGCACTGAGGCGTCTATAACAGTCTCTTCTGGGTATTAAACAGCGCAATGTATGAATTATAATATACGATTTATTATATATACTTGTAATTAAGCTTGAAATGATTAACGTAGATACGAGCTCGTCAAATTATCACACCAAATTTTCGCTAGCAATGATTTAAACCTCAAGTGCCACATAAATACAGCCAATTATTTCTGTAATTAATAATATTGGCTTTTGCGCTTCCATGACAATGAAGATATCGCCACAGCCTGCATAACGAAAAGCATGATTACCTCAGTCCCAGATCATCTGTCTCTCATACTTAAGAGGAAATCACATTGCTTGGCGTCCAAGTGTACTCCTCCCTTTTCAAACAGTCAATAACAGTCATTCCCCACGCACCGCGTTGCCACATTGTTCCCTCGGGACCCCTACACTATGCAATTCTGCGCGTGCCACAAAATAACCAGAGGGGCAGACAATGTTCAAGTCTCATCACCTGAACACAGGAGAAATCGCAATATACAGGTAGCTAAACAATTGTTTTGTAATGCTAAGCCCAAATGTTGGAAAAAATGGAAGATTGGCAGGGGAAACCGAAGTACTCGGAGAAAACCTGCCCCAGCGCCACTTTCTCCTCCACAAATCTCACTTGATCAGACCCGGGAACGAACCCGGGCCGCCGCGGTGGGAAGCCAGCGACTAACCGCTTGAGCTATGGCGCGGCCAAAATAGACCTTAGAGAAAGAATGGGGTGACATGGACTGGTACTGTCTGACTCGTGATAGTGACCAGTGGAGGGCTCTTGTGAACACGGTAATGAGTCTCCGGGTTCCATAAAATGTTGGGAAATTCTTCAGTAGCCGAGTGACTGACGGCTTCTCAAGGAGGACTCAGCTCCTTGGATTTAGTTTAGTTTATCTGTTTGTTATTTTGTTAAGAGCGGCCTCCGTAGTCTAGAGGTAACGTTCCCACCTCATGACTCGTGGTACGCGGGTTCAAATACCCGGCGGAGGTCGTCGAATTTTTAAGGGCGGAAAAATTCAGGGAACAAGTCCTCCGGGAGGGACTTTAAGCTGTGTGTCCCGTGTCGTAACTTTACGGCACGTAAAAGAACCTCATATCCCCAAAGGGGATCACTGAGCCAAATTCCAGGACGTTTCCCGCCCAACAATAGTTTCTAACGCCTCTGATAGATGGGGGAAGCATTACAGACACCGCTAAGCAAGTGGCCGAACTCGCTTGCTCGGCGGGACTGATGGTACGCACCATTTATCGGTAGGGTAAAGAGACTGGTAGAATATCATAGAGGGAAGCACAATAGATCAAACTGGTCGCGGTGCAAGGGGAAACCCACCCTCTCTAAATAACTAACTAAATAACTAGTTTGTTAAGGGATGTGAAATTCAGTCTCCCACACTAGGGGAAATGGTCAGAATTATGCAGTTTCTAGACTACACCCTTCGTCTACAGAAGATGAAGGGAAGGGAGTACTTGGTAAAGCTTGGCATATGTGGAAGGAAACTACTGAAACTGGCCTTAAATATGCCGGGTCGGGTTCCTTTGACTCAGAATAGGGACTAGCGGTTGTGGGCTCTTGTGAACACGGCAATGAAGCTTACGGCTCCATAAAAGAGAAGAATTTCTTAATTAGCTGTGTGGCTTTGAGATTCTCATGAAGGATTCCTGCTTCATGAACATCACAGAAAGTGAATGATGTATTCTGTTTACCTGTGTGAAGTTCGCATAAATGGCACTACATGTGACTTCCGAAGAAAAATGCAATTAAATGTTGCGGTTTACAACACGGATTGGTTTACCGTCATCCAGCGCTAGAAAATTAAAGTCACAGAAACAACACATGTTCTTGGGCTTAGCAATTCACATCATGAAGCCTCGACGCTATGTGGGCTAGATACTGAAAGTGTCGTAAAAGGGCCCATAGCCATAAAAACTGCATAAACTTAGTCCTCACATTTAGATTTCATTACTACGAGAGTGGTCAGTGTCACATCCCTGTCGCTTCACATCTGTAGGTCCACTGACTTAAAGGTTACGTGGTTCCCAAGCCGATCTGACGAGGCACACTGTCACGTGTTAGTTACTGGACATGGGGTTCGGCTTGATAATTGTATTTAATGAACGCTCACTAGTTTTATCTTAAAATAATTATAACACCTTCACTAATCTACGTACTGCACAAACCACTGTTGAAAACAATAAGTCTTCTAGGTTTTCACTAGTCGTTGCTTAGTAGCGGCTTGTAAAACTCTCAACCGCCAACTCCGACCGTCGACTTCAGACTACTGCTTCCAAGAATTTCTCTATTGTTGAGTGACGTGTTAAGCGGGTTGTTGCCTAGCGATGGCCGAGGTATTTTTGATGCGGGAGCTTGTTTTGATTGCAGTGGAAACATGTTTACCGCGACGTTGCCTAGAAGTGGAAGACTTTTTAGGCCTGCTATTCCAGCTTTCAACCGTCATGTCATAATAATTTATACTGCCAAAATCGAACTTGAGGTTATCTAGCCCGTAATGCGTGATGGAAAAATGAGAGATTCCATAGGAACCTTGCCCCAAAAGAGGGAAAAAGTCCAAACATGGATATGTATTACAAGTCAATACGCAATAACAAGAATGTATTTTGGGGCACGGTCAACACGAGAGTTCAATTTAAACTATCTATGCTCAAAGAAGGGCTACAGGCTCTGATATATGCATGTTCTGAGAGCTCGGTCCTTTCCTGTGGAGTCATTTTAAATATGCCGAACAAAAACAAAAACAGTGGTTTTCGTCCGCAAGCGAACTATACCGACCGAGCGACCGCCGATTGTCGGCGAAGTTAGTGCGAAATTTAGCGGAGAGAGGTTGTCGCTTGGTCAGCACAACGAATCCCCGCGGCCGTTAATTTCGGTTTTCTAGCCGCTAATTCCTTGAAGTATCCTCACGATGCTGAGTGGACACCGTTCCAAACCCACTACTCAGAAAATCTGTCAGCGCCGGGAATCGAACGGGGACCTGTGGATCTGTAGCCAGGAACTCTGACCACTAGACCACAGAGGCGGTCGAAACTAAAATGTATCCACCCCAAGGCTAACAAATTGAGAACTTCGTGTATTATGAGAATATAGTACGGCAGGATGACTAGTCCTGCCAGAGTCGACGCTGCCCTGAACAGTACCGAAGCTACAATCTTGAAAGCAAAAGTGCAACTTCTGTACCTCGTGAGGCTTGAGGTTCTCATCCTGTCACGAATATCAGTATGTTCTCAGAAGTGATAGAGTGTAACCTAATACAAATTTACCTACATTTCGAAGGATAATGTTGTCTGCGTATCTTCCTAGCATGTAGCAACAAATTTTTCCAAAATGTCGGTAACCTTCTATCAAACTACAAACTATCAAACATATTGAAAAGCTGGTACTCTGTTTTAAGTACAGCTCTGTTATGAGCATCGCAGCGGTTAGGTAACAAACTAGAATACTGAGAAATCTTAAGGCCCGTCCACATTACTCGTGCTCGTGCGTCACAAGCTTACTGCTGCCGGAAAAGTGGACGCCCAAACTGGTTTGCATACAAAGCCTTCGCATTTCTTCACAACAGATATCAGCTCCAGATCCTGATTTTCCGGCAGCAGTAAGCTTCTGACACACGAGCACGAGTAATGTGGACGGGCCTTTACACAGGGCCTCGAGCCTCGTGGACTTTTGTGAACACGCCAATGAACCTTCAGATTACATAAAAAGAGAGTGAGTGTCTAAGCTACTATTAGCTTCTCGTGGAAAAATTTTGCTCCACTGGGGTTGGTTATCTTATGCGAGGCCGTGCCATAGCTTAGGCGGTCCGGGTTCGAGCCCAGGACACGTCATGAGGGATTTGTGGTAGACAAAGTGGCACTGGGTCAGGTTTCCTCTGAATACTTAGATTTCCTCTGCCAATGCTCATTCCACCGACTGCTCCACATTCATAATCTATCATCTGGGGCTTGTACAATAGGCCAGAAGTGGCCCCAGTACAAGGGACTTAGTCCCACCGCTCTAGCAATAAGAAAAATCCTATGCGAGATCTGAAGTTCTGTTGCTGTCTTCTGGGATGTGTTCGCTGGTTGCCCTGTAGAACATTACGTTCAGCGGAACCGGCTGCTTCCGTCTTCCGAGTAGAAGGCAGAGGCAGAAGGTTCGCGTCGAATGTTGGTGAAGTCGTACTGATCTATACGGAGTCACACCCGGAAGGCAGCAAACTTCACACTTGTTCTCTGTTTTTGGTGGACGGTGGAATTAAAGATTCATGTACAGTTTCTTTATTAAAAACCGTCACAACGAACTATATTAAAGTCAGTGCCAAAAAAAAACGAAAAAATTCATGTATTGCGTCGGTACTTACTTCTCTTCATCTCCCTGGGACTCGCCTCTTCCAGAACGACTGCTGGCATTGCCTTCACGGTCTGGTACTCGGCCCCCTCCCTGGGACTGGGGCCAAGCGCTGAGGGTGGCTCCGAGTGACGTCGGCTCCTGAACAAACGCATGGTGGAGTCGCGGCACTTCGCATGGGTACAGCAAATCCACTGCCTCCAGCGACCTGCAATTGTGACCATAATTTTTTACTCTACTTCGGACTGAGTGTGGAAAGTTCGCTGTATGCGGTTTTGGGGCAATGCTGACAACACAAAGTTCGAGCCCCGATCGGTACTCTTGTTATAAAGAAGCCAGCAAGCGATACTGTTGTTACCTGCCTCCAAGGTATCCCATCCAACTGTTATCCTACCCTTGGACTTAAGAGTGATGCTGCTGGGTGTGTACAATTAGTCTTCCTGGCAACAATCACAGTGTAAATACATGAAAAGATGAACATTTGGTTGGAACATCTAAGAGGATGCTATCAGAAAGAGCTCCAAGCAAATTTTATATTATCGACCGATAGGAAGAAGCGATCCAGGAAAGCCAAGAGGAATATAGCTTAGTTCGTTAGGTTGGAAAGAGCTAAAGTGCTCAACCCTAGCAGATGATGATGATGATGATGATGATGATGATGATGATGATGATGATGATGATGATGATGATGACAATCACGGTATCGGATTTCAATTTCCTTCCTAATAACCTAGAACTAACCAGTACATAATCTAAAATATGTGCACCCAAGTCTTAAACTCCTTTCCTATCGAACTATCAGCTTTCTCTCACATTTTCTATCCTTCTGGCTTTGTATTCTGTTTATTTCATTTGTTCTTCCCGGAGTACAGAACATAACTGATTGAACTACATGCGTGTACTCTACGTGCTTTATAACGTCGGATATGTGAGAAATTACAATATATAACTTGATGAAAATTACATATTATATATATCTGCATTTTTCTGGGGGGGGGGCAGGGAAAATCCAACAAAACTGTTGGCCAGAATGAAATGCCTTACATTCTCGTTCAGTTAATTTAGGGACATGCCTGTATTACGAGAAGACAGGAATGAATGTTTTCTGCCAGACGAAAGATGAAATACGGATAACAGGTTCAGACAGTAAACTTATTTCTGTAAAGACCTCTAGGATATTAATATTCGTAGAATCACTTATTTAACTTCTGTAAAGGGTTCAAAACCGCTATTACTTGTAGAATTATTCACTTTTCTCCTGCAGGGAGCTCCAGAACATTAATACTTCTAGTATTATTAATTTTATTTCTGTAAAGAGCTCAAAACTACTATTACTTACATAATCGCTAATTTTTCACCTGTAAAGATCTCAAAAGAACAAATTTCTGTAAAATCACTCATTTTTCTCCTGCAGGGAACTCCAAAATATTAATACTTATAGTATCACTAATTTTATTTCTGTAAAGAGCTCAGAAGCAGGTGAGTATCCACTGCAACCTGCAGGTCGATACGAGTTCTCTATTTTTCACACAGGTACAACAAGCGGTTGGGAAATCAGTAAGGACAGTATGAGCACTCTGACACAGTTGAAGTGTTTGGTTGGCACTAGAACAGCGTTTACTCACGATAAGTGGCTTTCTGAATTAAGAAACTCGTTCACTTTAACCGTCAGGTCATTTTAAACTAGGCTTGCCACTTGCACCCGAAGCCTTCTCCGTTTCTACTATACTCACTTCAAACATGACGTAACTGAAGAGCAGTGGAACACAGGGGCATCCTCTCGACCGTGAGTAGCACAGAAACAAGCGACTGGACACCGCCTGAACGGGCACTTCTATCTAGTCTCACTATAGACACTGGTTTCGAAACGAAGCCAAACTATAAAGCTACTGTCACGTGTATTTGTGACTGTAGACGGGGTTTGGAATCGTGAATGACGTTCACAAGTCGTAACTACAATTAATTATAACACTCTAAAGGTTAGTGTAGTTATAACATACAAAGTAAAGTCTTCAACGTCTGCTTGCTTAGTCGTTGCTTAGTAATCAATTTGATCTGGTTAACACTTCAACTATTGAATACCACAGTATTTCTATCTGCCTTATGTTACGACCGACGTTCAGTCGGTCAGTCTGTCTTCGAATAAAACAACCATCTGGGGCTTACGGCCAGTCCTTTATTACTGTCAGATAGTTGTGGGTTTGTTGATGTGGGGCGATCTCTCCGACGAGAGGACGGGTCTATCGTTTACAATTGCTGCTGGTCCACGCCAGCGCAGTCATTATCGAGTCCGAATCCCGTAGAACTCGAGACATATTTCACTGTCTCAGATTCGAGCCTTCCATTTTCGTCGTCTCCTACGACCCGCGGGGCTACGCTGGAGGTATTCGCCCCCGCCTCCACGAATGCACTGCCTTTTATAAATTCCACGTAGCCCGCATGGAAGACAGTTAACTGTCCTCTGTTATTGTAGTTGTTGTCACGGGAATCTGTTACCGTGGGAATAAGTGTTTACCTAGCCGTTGTCTAGCAAATGATCATATTCGTCACACTATGCATTTCCAATTTCTCTGTCCTTAAAAGGCTAATAGCATATGGGCGTTTTTCTGCTCTCTGTGTGTGGATGGGGGCGGAGTGACAGGGTAGATTTAGGGACGAATTTTTCACGCCTGCTCATTTCATGCCAGTCGTCATACGAGTGAATGCGAGCGGAGTACTGGCAGTAATGAGCATAGGCTTCCACACTGTGCATGGCAGCGCCCACAGAATCTGAGGACATGATGGTAAGGGCACTGGACTAAGGAAATTACTGTGTTACTCCTCCTCAGGATCATCAGTGGGATTGCACTACCGTACGGATGCGACTGTTAATTCGAGGTTTTCTTTCCTTTTCTTTTCTTCCCCCTCCCCTCCACAAATACTGCATCTTACAGACGATTTGCCTTATTTTCAGGTCCATAAGAATAAATATGAGGATGATAATGAGGAACTGTAATTGATAATTCTAATAATACCTAGCACAATATTTACATACTTACTTATGGAGCTGAGCCCTTCTTGAAGAGCCGCCAAATCTGCAGCCACTCAAGAATTTCCCAGCATTTTATGGAACCCGAAGGTTCATTGCTGTGTTCACAAGAGCCCTCCACTGGTCCCTATCCTGAGCCAGATCAATCCAAACCATATTATCCCATCCTATCTCTCTAAGATCCATTTTAACATTGTCCACCCACCTACGCCTTGCTCTTACCAGTGGTCTCTTTCCTTCTGGCTTTCCCACCAATATCCTATATGCATTCCTCTTCTCCCTCATTCGTGCTACATACACTGCCCACCTCATCCTCCTTAAATTTTAAATTTACTTTTTCTTAATAGCGTAGGTTTTAGGTCTACCCCTCTTTCCCTTTACAAGACTCAGAGCTAAATTACATACTGGGTTTCGCCAAAATACGTCTCTTTCTCTGACTTCATCATTACAAAAACAGGAGGTTGCACTATATTCGGGGTGTGCTTTCATTTGGGCTTATACAGTATTTAGAATGTTCTGATTAAAAGCTTAATTCTTAATACAACTGAAAATTAAATACTGTCTGCTTTATGAAAAAAATTAATATATGTATCGGGTTCAAAATCCTCTCTTTATAACGTTTTATTTTCATTTTCTCTCTCGTCACTCGTTTATTGTTTTGTGCTCGTTCTAGCTATTCAATTTTGCCAAGAACAAAACTTTTCTCCGATTTTCTCACTTGAAATTTACGGGGCCGCATTTTATTGGGGTGTACTTTTATTCAGCCTTATGCGGTATCTAGAACATTCTGCTTCCAAGCGTAATCCTTAATATATCTGAATATGGAATCGTTTATTTTTTATGGTTGAAATTTTATTATATAACGGACTTCAATTTTTGTTTATTGCATTTTCTTGACTTTTTATTTCTCGCCACTCGTTAATTAATTCGCGTTCGTGCTGCCGTTTTTCCTGCAGCGGTTCTGCTTGTGGCATCTCAATTTCTTCTCCTTTCGTTCATTATTTTTCTCTCTCAATGCAGTGCTCTTTAATTGTTAAAATATGTCTGTAATAAGTGAAGCGTTCATTTCATTACGTAACTGGCAGTGTTAATTATAGCATGTGTATTAGTGACTAAAGACGGAGTTCGTATTTGCAATTGGATTTACTGGATACTTACAGGTTAAAACTACAAATAATTATTACAATATTGCTGATTTACACAATTTATAATCACTCTACACTAATCTTCTCAGTCTATTTCCACTAGTCTTCACTATCCGTTTCCTGTCAACGGATTTATAACTCGGAAACTGTAAAAGTCTCACTAAATTACACACTCCCAACTTTGATGTAATACAGCACACGTAAGTCTAAGCACACTAAGTCTTCTAAATTTTCTTCTGGACACACTGCTGTTCCCTTGGAACTTCGGAACTCAAGTGAAGTCAATTCCGATTCTAATATGCTCTTATATCATCTCGGCACGTACCATGCACAGAAAACACAGCCCCTCTATTGTTGCATGGCGCAGACCACAGAGAAATTACGTGTCACGCGTCAAACTGCGAGTTCATTCGCCCCTTACCACCACTGGGCGTTGCGTGAACGACATAGAAAACAGCCTCATCTATTGTTGCGTGCTGGACCGTATTTATAGAGCCTGGCAACGCGTTGTTCAAATCCGTTACAATATTGTCACGTGCTAAGCTATTAGACAGAGCTTTGGAATGGTAAATGGATTCAGTGCACTCTTACAACTCGGATTTACCAGTAACTATAACGCTGCACAAACACTGTAACACACACACACACACCAGCCTTCTAACCTTGTTAGACTCTACTAGCGGTTACACGGTTAGAGTCCTCCAACATGGGTTATTCCTCGCGTCCTTGCAGCTACGGAACTGCACTCACTATATACAGAAACAATCAATGACTGCTATTTCTCGTTATATATAGTTGGGACGGACCGCACAGATAACGCCTTTCCCAACAGTTCTTCTATTGTTGCGTGCGTAGCTGTTGGCGCGGACAGCATAAATAACACCGTTCTCCGCGCGTGGTGTGTTCCATTGGTGGAACTGTGTCATTGTCTAACAACGGCCATACTTCTAGAGCCGTTCCCTAGCAAGGGCTGTCTCTGTTGGATTTACAATTCTGGCCTCCAGCAAACAAACCGTAATATTTTAAAATGTAAAA